TCCACATTCCATGCATTTATACGGTTTCTCACCTGTGTGAGTTCTTAGATGTGTAGTATATGACCTGCTGTTATTGAAGCTGTTTCCACATTCCATACACATATATGGTTTCTGCCCTGTGTGGATGCTATGATGTCGATGTAGATTTCCCATCCGACTGAAGCTCTTTCCACATTCCAGGCATTGGTATGGTTTCACTCCCCATTTCATCTGACTCAAGACTTCCATTCCAACTATAGCTCTTCCCACAAAACGTGTATTTCTCCCATATGGGCTCTTTGATTTTTTTCCTACAGGATCCACCCCATGCTACATGGAGTCTATAGCATGTCTTTCAGCTAGACTTACTCCTGCTATTTCTTTAAAGACTTGGTTGTTCCTGTTCTTTTTCTTCTGTTTATTAATGGGTTCAGGCGCCCAGAAACCGCGGAGCTCAGAGAAGCACAGGATTCCTTCTTCCCAGCTTTTCAATTTCTTCTATGTTGCCATTTATTTATTCTTTTGTTTCCCTTCTTCTCCTTTCCTTCTTCAGGCTCAGTTGTTTCCAAACATTTTCTCATTTTCCTGAGATAGAAGAAGAAATGAATCTTATTCCCAGTTCAGTATAGAAGCAGAAGGAATCAGGGATCATGCCCTAGATTCATCTTGAAGTTCCTCCCTCCCTCCCTCTGCACCATAGTGTGATAGAGCTGCAATGATACGCTACATTAACAGAAGTACAGTACAGTAGTGCCTTGTTTAATGACATTAATTTGTTCCAGCAAAATCGCTGTAGAGTGAAAAAGTAAAGCAAAAATAAAAAACCTATTCAAATGCATTGAAACCCGGTTAATGCGTTCCAATGGGCTAAAACCTCACCGTCCAGCAAAGATCCTCCATACGGCGGCCATTTTTTGTGCCTGTATAACGAGGAATCCATCCCTAAGCACAACGGAGAGGCATTTTGAGCACCCGGTGGCCATTTTGAAAACCCGATGATCAGCTGTTTTGATCGTAGTAACGCCAAGAATTGGTTCCCGAAGCAGGGAACCAATCTTCGCAAAGCGAAAAAACCCCATTTAAACCATTGTTTTGTGATCGCAAAAACATCATCATGAAGCGGATTCATCATAATGTGGGGTAATCATTAAGCGGGACACAACTGTACTTTGTTTTCTTCACTGGACTCTCTGTAAGAACAAGTCTTGCACAAGGGCAACACAGGGCACGATCCGGGTCTTCAAAGTTACAAATACCATAATGCTCCATCCTTCGAGTTCTACCTACTTTACAAGCACCTCACAGACACCTGAACGTGAGGCACTTGTGAGAAAGGCCTAAATTATAAGGCTTATTCTGCGGCTTAGCTAGGCCTAGCTTCACCCGTTTCCTTTTTCCTGCCCCAGGGCTCGCTGGGAGCTCTCTATCTGAGCAAGGAGCTCGGCCTAGCAAAGCCTCAAAGCTGTCTAATAGAGGTCTTCATCCTGGGTGCAGCCTATTCAGGTGTTTCTAAGGTGCCTGTAAGGTGGATAGAACTCCAGGGATGGAGAATAATGGTATTTGTAGTCTTCGGGCAGAACACAGCTGACAAATAAGCAGACCCAGGGAGCTCACGACCAGAGCTCGCAAACAGGACAGCAAACATGGAGCATGCTGCAGCAGAGATAGGAAGAAGGAGAACGGGGAGGGGTGTGTTCTTAACAGGAAGAGAAAGGGGAGTGTCCTGAGGAGGTCCTCTTGGTTTCTAAATCTATGGCAGACCACAGCTGACCGTGGAAAAGAATCACAGCGAGGAGCAAAAGAAGGAGAAGACACTCGTCCCCGATGGAACTACAGAACCGCTTCCAGTTACATGAAGAATAGTCAGTCGGACAGGACGCAGAGGAGACCCCACAGGAGGACATGAGTAGGGCTGAAGCGCAGCAGAATACAGTCGCTGAACCCACACCCTACAAAAAGGAGACTAGTTGTAGTAGGGGACCTCCTACTATGTGGAATTGAAACTGAAATATGCCGGGAGGATCCATGGACTTACCAGGTATGCTGTCTCCCTGGAAGACAGATAAGGGATGTGGATGAAAGGATTGGCATCACTCATAACACCTACAGATACATATTCCTTTCTTCTTGTCCACGTGGCAACAAATGACACAGCCAAGAAGAGCTACTGAGAAATCACGTCTGACTTTGAAGCTTTGGAAAGGAAACTCAAGGATTTTGGGGCCCAGATAGTTTTTTCATCCATCCTACCGGTGCTCAGAAGAGGAATCTGAAGAGAAAGGAAGATCCTCTGGCTGAATATCTGGCTATGAAGGTGGTGTCGATGAAAGAGATTTGGTTTTTGGAATCACAGTCTAAGCTTCCTGGAAGAAAGACTGCTAGCAAGAGACGTATTGCATCTCACAAGGACTGGGAAGCATGTGTTTGCCCTCAACATGAAGAACTACATCAGGAGGTCTTTTAAACTGAATGGGAAGGGGGAGGGAGAAGCAAGCACAGAGGGCAGATGAAGTAGATGAAGCCTTACACACATTTAAGAGGAATGGACCAAACTCCTCAAAAGGGCAACAATAATAACATTGACAATAATAATCACAATAATAAACATAACAATAATCATAATCATAACAAACACAAGCACAGAGTATATGAATGCCAGGAGTATGGGAAACAAAGAAGAAGAAGAATTGGAAATATTAATTCAGGAGGCTAAGTGTGAAAGGAGTACAGACAGGTAACAAGGAAATGCAGGGGTGGCATTAGGAGGGCAAAAGCTGAAAATGAGCTGGTGTTAGCTGGAGACACTAAAAGCAATAAAAAAAGCTCTCTTCCGGACTATGAGTCATATAAGACAAACCAAAGACATAGTATGTCTATCTAGTATGACCAGATAGGCGGGATAGAAATAAAATAAATAAATAAATAAATAGTGGCACAGCTTCACAATGGAGATGGAAAAATGATAAAGGAGGACAAAGAAAAGGCAGAGGTGCTAAACTCCTATTTTAGTTCTGTCTTTTCCAATAAGACAGACTATGAACTTCCAAACAAATTGGAAGTGCAAGTGGAGAGGACAGGATTGCAGCTGGAGATGGATAAACAAACAGCCAAGGAATACCTCTCCAGGCCTGGATGAACTGCATCTGAGAGGACTGAAGGAAGTAGCTGAAGACCTCTCAGAACCTCTATCCATTATTTTCTTGAAATCATGGGAAACGAGGGAGGTTCCAGAGGACTGGAAGAGGGCCTCATGTGGTCCAGGCCAGTCAGCCTGACATCAATCCCAAGCAAAATTCTGGAATAGATCATAAAGTGGTCATTGTGCAAGCACCTAGAAAACAAGGCAGTAATAACTAGAAGCCAACATGGATTTGTCAAGAACAAATCCTGCCAAACTAATTTGATCTCGCTATTTGATTAGGTAACCTTCCTGATAGATGGAATGCTGTAGACGTAGTATATCTTGACTTCAGCGAAGCTTTTGACCAAGTGCCCCATGATCTCCAGATTAGCCGGCTAACTAGGTGTGGGCTGGATAGATCAAGTGTCAGGTGGATACACAATTGGCTACAGAATTGTACTCAGAGTATGATGATTAATGGGTCTTTCTCTAACTGACAGGAGGTAACAAGTGGTGTACCCCAAGGCTCAGTCCTGCGCCCAGTGCTCTTCAATATTTTTATTAATGACTTGGATGAGGGAGTGCAGGGAATGTTTGTCAGATTTGCAGATGACACCAAATTGGTATAGCTAATACCCTAGAAGACAGAAACAAAATTCAAAATGACCTTGATAGGATGAAGCACTGGACCGAAAGCAACAGAATGAAATTCAACAGGGATAAGTGCAAAATGCTGCACCTCGGAAAAAAGAAACCAATGGCACAGTTCCAAGGGGGATACCCAGCTCAGCAAAACTATAAGCAAGAAGGATCTGGGAATTATTATAGATCCCTTTCTCTAATATGAGCCAACAGTGTGATGTGGCTGCTATTTCAGGCTGCATTAATAGAAGTATAGTTTTCAAATCCTGCGATTTGGAAATCAGTACTGGTGAGGCCTCGCCTTGAGGTTTGTTTCCCATTCTGGACACCACACTTCAAGAAGGATCTTAACGAATTGGAACAAGTTCAAAGGAGGGCAACCAGGATGATCAGGGGGCAGGAAACCAAGCCTTAGGAGGAAAGGCTGAAAGAATCGGGCATGTTTAGCCTTCAGAAAGGAGAGGGGTGATATTTGAAAAGATGTCATATAGAGAAGGGGCAAGATCTTTTTCTCGATTATGCCTGAGTGCAGGACACACAACGATGGGATCAGCTTTCGGTTGAATATCAGGAAAAACTCCCTAACTGTTAGAGCAGTACGACAGTGGAACCAGTGACCTCAGGGACAGAGGGCTCTAACACGGGAGGCATTCAAGAGAAACAGCTCCTTCCTACATTCTCTCTTTTCCTCCCTCAGCTCTCGGAGGGGAGAGGGAGGGAATCGGGCCGCCTGCACCCCAGTTGCTTCATAGGGTATGTGTGTGTGTATGTGTGTGTGTTTTTGAGACAGAAAGAGAGAGAGAGATCAGGAAAATTTGCTTTGCAGTCATTTTATAACAGAATGGCCACTGATCCATTTTGGAGGAATCCTCGAGGGGTTTCGGCTACAACCAGGTACAGTGAAAGAGGGCAGATGGCAGTACAGGAAAAATTAACAAAGAAACTTCAGGCAGTCAAAGGAATACAATTCCTCCCCATTATGTAATATATTTATCGAGGAGGGAGAAACTTTCACAGATATTTATGTGCAGCAAAGCTAATATCAGCCTCTGGGGCCCTTGCATTTGGGGGCATCATGAGCCAGGTTAAAATGTGAACATTTTAAGAGCATGTTTCGAAGCTCTGATATCCCACGTCTGCAATGGGACAGAGAGTGGGGTGGGAGGGGGGAGTAAGTAATGAAAATGACTATTGCGTTGGATATGTACTAGGCAAATGATTTTTTATTAAATGAAGTTACCTGGAGAGACATCGTTCCTAGTAGGAGGTCCTTGCGCAGAGATCTCGAGCATCAATCCAGCAGATCCCACGCTCTTGTTGGGGTCAACACGGGGTCATCTCCAGAAAGGCCACTGGAAGAGGGAAGCAGAAAACAGTCATACTGGGTGGAAAAGGCCCCACAACTTCCAACTGCATTTAAAAAAAAAAGTTTGGAAATAACATACTCTGAATAACATGAGTCGCATGTCCAATTTTCTGATAAACAGGACAGCTGCCACCATAACGTCTCACTGATGTTTGAAACACTGAGCCAGTAGAAGCGAGTAGTAATTCTATGCAAGGTTTTTTGGAAGCCGAGGTGGCCAGAAAGAGCAGTAGCGTTTTCAGGGAGGCTTTGGGATGGCAAGCTGATGCTTTTGTTCTAAATCCAAATGGGATTCCTGGGCAGATGCACCGTACGAAAGTCCCTTTGCAGCCCAAGACAACCCGAGAGGTTTCACTGGGGAGAAAGGCAAACCAGAGTCAGCCGGGTCCCTCCGAGAGGGCAGAGAGGGGGTCACTCTTCTGGGCCCAACAAAAACATCGGGAAAAATGGCCTGGCTGGGGGGAGCAGAAACCTCTGCCTGAGCAGACAGCACTCCCTCCCCACTCTCCACTTTCAGACTTTATAACCTCAGTGTTAATTAGGCTCCGGCTGCCCATCAGTCCCTTCATCATGTTTTGAAGGCAAGGAACTCAACTTCTCCAGGTGAGCAATCTTCCGGTTTTTAAACATTCTGTGCAGCCTTGGGCCCTTGATCTCTTTGTCATCCCTAATCAACCAGGCTAAGCAAACATACTGGTTTCTTTCTTCAGAATTCAGGAAGTCTCATTGGTAGCCACTTTTTCTCCTGGTCAGAGGGCATCAGGCTGCCAAGAATGTTAAAAACAGTCTTATGGTTTTAAAAGGCAAACGGGCAGAGTGTGTGGAAGTGTTGGTTTAAAAACCGAGAATCAGCACTTCCCACGCGAGACGGCGGTTGTGGCAAAAGAGCCACAGAGCAGATGGGCATTAGAGAAATCAGCTTTCCCAAGGTTGACCTCCCTTTCCTTCATCCGGCTTAAAGGCTCACAGAAACAGGCAGCGACTTGGGTTTAGAAACAAATGAGAGCAGCATCCCTTTAGCTACAATAATCGTCCTCTTAGAATGCAAAATGAACAACTCTGGCAACATGGAACGGTATCTCTTCACCTGAATTGCTGTGTTCTATCATTTCTCCCCCAAACGTGCTGGCCAGTTGCAGAAAGAGTTACCACCCGAAACGCACTAACTCTCACAGGTGCCAAAGCCTGGAAGATCCTGACGGAGGTTGAAAGAACTCCCACCCCAACATGAAAAGGCTTGTTTTAAAGAGCCTTTCCTGACACGTCTCGCCTGCCTAGTTCCTCGTATGTCCTGTCATGATCTCAACTCCTCCCCAAGGCTGGACACTGGCTGGCCCCCTCCCTAAGGGATGTTGACCCTCTTCACCCACCTGCCTGGGATCAGGGCCCCAGAGGTCCAGCCCTCCCTCGTTTGCCCAGAGGTCCAGCCCTCCCTTGTTTGCCTTGCTTTCTCTTTGGGACAAATTCCCTGCTCGTTCCCCACCCACCCCCGAATGCCTGCCACCTCCCCAAGTCGAATCCTGCAGGAGTCGATGGATTGAAAAAGGTCTGTGTTAGGAGAGAGGTGAGAAGAGGAAGGCTCTCTTCCACTGTTCTCTCTCCAAAAGAACCCCAAATGCAGGGGTCGCCCTCCTGGACCTCATAAGAGGAAAGGAAACATTTGGGAGGGCCCTACGATAGGCTGAACCAGGGTTGGCATCTCAGCACCTGCCCTCGGTAAGAGTAGGGTTGGACCCAGCAGGAATGGAAGCCAAAGGGAAAACGGTTACTCAAGCAAGATAGGTGAGCCTCGGAATATGGGGGTTTCTCACCGACTCAAGTCTTTCAAGAGGGTGGAGAGGTACAGGTCTTTACATCCTCTCCGTCCCTCATGGAAGATCTCGGAGTGGCTACCCCCCCCATAAAGACTCTGGATGTTGCCAGTGATGGAGCAAAAGGGATCTCATATAAACTCGTCAGGTGTACGGAGGGGCGTCTGATCCCAAGGAGGAAAAACATCTCACCTGCCTTGCAACGGTTGGAGGGATCGATCGGGAGTTCGCTTCTCTCTGGGTCCTGAGCAAATCCAGGGGAGCCTCGGCTCAGTCTCGGGTCCTGCCTGGGAGGAAAGAAAAAGGAGGTTTCTTTGGATAAAGCAAAACAAGAGCTCTTCCTTCCAGCATGTGGAGTTTGTCCTTTTCCTCTCTTGTGCAGGCGAAACCTCCGTGTGTGTCTCTCTCTGTTCTTGCAAGGGCAGGAAAAGGAGAACGGAAAGATTGCTAAGGAAGGAACAGCCGGGGGTGGGGAGAAAATGGGAAAGAAAGAGGATGATGAATGGGAAGGGGGGGGTCTCACCGACTCTTGAACCCAAACCTTTCCCATTCAAGTTAAGTTGTGGGTAGGGTGTTTATTTCTTCCCCCAGGAAAACCTTTCAGGAGAACCTGTGCAGTGGAGTGGGTGAATGTCAGACAAAGACAGGGTTCAAATCCCTCTTCAGCTATGGGAACGGAGGGCAGGACTACCTCAGCAAACATTTCAGGATTTGCTCCAGAAATATAATAAGGGTTTAATGTGAGTGGTTTTGGTTTTTTGTTTGCTTGCTTTTGGTATTGATCACACCACGTCCATCCCAGTGCAAATGAGCCTGTCCCTTGGATTTGGAGTCTCTCCCTCCCCACACATCATCGCTTTCTGGCTCTTTGGTACTTTGTTTCTCAAACCTTACCAGCTACATCATCATCTCTCTCTCTCCCTCTCCCTCTTTCCACCTGCCCCCCAAATCATCTTCTCCAGCCTGTTCCTGCCCAGCCTTCCTTTCAAAGAAAAGCTCTGCCATGTTCGGAAGCAACACCATAAGGAAGCAGCAGAAGGAAAGGCCCTTCAGATGGGATTCAGGGTGCCAGGAAAGGAGTCTAGATCAGCCCCCATCCTCCCACCCCACAGACTCCCCCCTCCCCTGCGAAGCCCATTTCTGGTATCCCCCCTTGCTTTCCCCCACCCTTTGCAGCCGCCCCTTCCTCCTCCTCCTCGCAACCCCATCAGGGCTACTCCCCCCCCCCGCAAGGGAAG